GCTCTGGGCGAGCATCCCTGCGGGGAATCGCGGTCCCTTCCCCATCCCCGGCGCCGGGGATGCCCGGCCCCCATCCCTGCCGCGTGCCCTTGGCTGCTCCCTCCGGGAGCGCATCTCGGCGGCAGCGAGCCCGCGGCTACCGCGGCTACCACCGCCAACGTGACGGCGGCCAGCGGCTCCGGGGGATGCGGGCACAGCAGAGCCGCACTGACCCTTCCTTCCTTCATTCCTTCCTTCATTCCTTCCTTCATTCCTTCCTTGCCCAGGCGGGACGCGCCGCGACCCCCGCGGAAGGATGGGGAGAGGGCGGTGATGGATGGAGCGTTCTCCGGGGATGATGGGGGGGGGTGAGCCAGGCGTGTGTGCGCCCACCTCCCCCCGCCTTTCCTCCCCATTCCCCCATCCACCCGCGGTGCGGGCTCACCTGTCCGTACACCTGGATGGGCTCGGGCGGGCGCGGCGCGGCTCGGCGGCCCCGCGGGGGCTCGGCGGGGGCTGCGGGGGCCGGCGGGGCTCGGAGCAGCAGCAGCGGCGAGCGGGAGCCCGCGGCCGCCGGCAGCGGCAGCAGCAGCAGCGGCAGCAGAGGCAGCAGGCGGCCGGGCAGCGGGGAGGCACGGCCGGCCCCGCCAGAGCTCCGTGTCGCCATGTTCGTGCCGCCGGGGCCGGGCGGAGCGGAGCGGAGCCGAGCGGGGCCGGGAGGAGCGGCAGCCGCGCCGCCGCCCGGAGAGAATGTGCATGGGCAGCGCCGCTCCGAGCCCCCCCGCCGCTCCCCGCGGGCACGGATGCTCGGGCCCCCCTCCCCTCTCCTCGCTCTTCTCCTTCCTCTTTTCCTCCTTTCCTCCCTCTCCGTCTTTTTCTCCCACTGCGGAGGATGCTCGGGTGGCCGACGAGGCGGAGTGAAGTAAGTTGTGGTTAATTTCCGTGGAATGGACTAAACTCGGGGCCCCCTCCCCGTGTCTCCTCTCCCTCTCCTTTCCCCTGCCCTTTCTCCTCTTCTTTTTCTCCCTCTCTGAAGGATGCTCGGGTCGCCGACGAGGTGAAGTGAAGTAAGTTGTGGTTAATTTCTCTGGAATGGACTAAACTCGGGGCCCCTTCCCCGCGTCTCCTCTCCCTCCCCTTTCCCCTGCCCTTTCTCCTTTTTCTCTCTCTCCCTCTCTGGAGGATGCTCAGGTGCCCGTCGAGATGGAGTGAAAGGATAAGTTCAATTTAATTTTTGTGGAATGGAGTAAAGAGAAACGAAGCAGTCAGAAATGGAGTTGAAGGGAGTGATACTGAATAGAAGGAAACTGTGTTGAAGCTGTTTAGGAGGGTGTGGGGTGACAGGGCAAAGGGGAAAGGCTTCAAACTGGCAAAGAGTAGAGTTAGATTGGATGTTAGGAAGAAATTCTTCCCTGTGAGGGTGGGGAGGCTCTGGCACAGGGTTCCCAGAGAAGCTGTGGCTGCCCCATCCCTGGAATTGTCTAAGGCCAGGTTGGACAGTGCTTGGAGCAACCTGGACAGTGGAAGGTGTCCCAGCCCATGGCAGGGGGTGGAACTGGGTGAGCTTTAAGGTCCTTTCCAACCCAAACCATTCTGGGATTCTATAAAACAAACCCAAATGAAAGCATTGCAGCTGCTTCTCTCTGGGGAATGAGTAAGGTTTTCTCCAAAAAAGCCAAACTACATTTTTCCTCCCACTTACATCTTGCAGGTGTGTCCTCAGCCTGGGATGTGGGCCTAAAACACCCCAGGACTGGTGGGCTGGGGCAGGTTTGGTGAGGTTTGATAGAATCACAGTGGTGTGAACCATAAAATCATGGTAACAGGCTCAGGTCCTTGCTGCTGAGTCTGATGAAGAGCTGGGTCTGCTTCTGGATGGGAAGGTGAAGGTGTGGATGGATGTCAAGAGGAAAAGGTGCAAAAGGTTTTGTGACAGAATTCCCCCTGGTATGTTTCTGGCAGCTCTCAGTCTTTATTCAATTTCTGCCATCTTTTTACCTGGGCAGAGTGGGGAAGGTGGGCAAGACATGGTGGGAGTGGGAAGGCAGAGACCCTGAGGGTCTCTCCAGGCCCTTCTGCCACCTCTCCCACCCATGGCAGGTGGGTTTATTTTGAAGGCAGTGCCTGTGTGCTTCCCACAGAACGCTTGGCATAGGTAACGTGTCCATAATTCACTGAAATGCAGGAGATGATGCTTGGTTGGTTATGCAGGAACAGCACAGGACCGATGCCAGTGGCCACAACTCTGATTTATTGAGGAAGCTGGACTCCCAGGTGTGGGGAATCTCCTGGTGCTGCTGCCCTGGTCACTGTGCATCCCTTTCAGAGAGCAATTCCCTGCCTGGGGCTCCTGTGTATCCCTGGTGATACAGAGCAGGGTAAGGGGGAGCAAGGATTTGAGGCAGGAGATTCAAACGACACTGAAAATGGCAGGAAAGTTGAGCTGTGCCTGTTGCTCAGCTCCAGCTTGTCTCTCTAAGCCAGGGGTGGTTTTTTAGGCACATTTTTACTGCTAAGAAATGGTTCAGGCCTCCAAGGTTCTGACAACACACTGATGGCTTTCAACCCCTCTGCCTCATCCCAGCATTCCCATCAAAGAAAATGGATGTAACCCAGCAGTGAAGGAATGAGAGCCTATAAATCCCATGGACAGCCCCGAGGCAATCTTGCTCCCCCTTATTCCACTTGCCTTAATAGCAGGAATGTTGTCCAGAGCTTTCCCCGAGGTGCTTTCACCTAGAAACCCAGTTAGTGTATTTCAGTTATCGGGTCAATACAATTTTAAGCCCTCCTAATAAAGCTTTTAGACGTCTTGGCTCAGAGTAATGTCCCCCTGGAGGACAGGAGGCCACCGTGGGTATGGGCAGAGTCACTGAGGGAGTTTTGTTGTGTGGGAATACCTGCAGCCAGCTGCTCTCTGGGCCAGATGAGAAAGACTCAAAAAGGACCTGGAGATAAGGAATAGAATAAGAAATAGGAGGAAATGAGGAATTGCCTTTCCTGAGGTGCTAAGTGGAGGAAAATGGTGCTTGGGGGGTTTTCTGTCTCTCTTCCAGCCTTTGTTTCACACTTCTTGCAGGGTGCAAGAAGGGTCCCTGTCCCCCTGTGAGCTCCCTGTGGTGGGCACAGGGAGAAAACTTTAGCCTGGAGCTCTTGGGTGAAGCCAGCCCTGGTAAATGCTCACAGATGAATGGCTCTTTCTTTGTGCAGGGAAACACACGTTTCCCCTGCCAAGGTATTTTTTGTTTCTTGAAAAGAGACGTAAAGGGGAGAGGGGAACAGTGCAGAGTTTATTTTAAGGTCCATCTGGATTTCATCAGCAGCAAAAGCTGTGAACTCCAAGAGCAAGGTGAGGAGCCCCTGGCCCCCTGGTTTTCCTTCCCCTCTTCCTTGAGACCTTTCCTTGCCTCAGCTTTAGAGGTCCCAGAGGGTTTGGGGGACTGAGGGGCTGGAACAGCCATTCCCCACAAAGCCTCACTGAGAGAGTAAAGCTGCTGAAAGGAACCATTGCTTGTTGCTGGAGTTGAACCAGGGAGCAAAACAGGGATGCCAGGAGCCAAAGACAGCACCCTACCCATGGCATTGGTCTCAGAGCCTTCCTCAGAGGAGGATGGTGGTTGTATGTTTTCCTGCAGGGCTCAGGGCTGTGTCAGAGGGACCCAATTGTTGCATTCACACACCACGGGTCACTTTGTGTGCTGGGGTCTCTCTGAGGACGATGTTCAGTGCACTGCCCTGATGTGTGGCACAGCATCGTGTGGGGGGCGACAGGAGGGAAGGAAATTCTCTGTGTGGGGTGGGACAGGGAAGCTATTGCAGACAAATCAGCAGGAAAGGCTCTGATGTCAGGAAAAGCATAAAGAATGGGGGTGATTCCTCATGGAACTGGAGCAGGGACACCCCACGTGTGTCCTCTAAGAGAGGCAGCACGGCAGAGCCCCACGTTGGGGGAACCAGGAGGAGGAGGAGCAGGAGGAAGGGCATCCACGCAGGTGCAGCTCCAGCGATGGCTGTCGTGAGCAACATCCCCATCTTGTGGCAACAGCCGCATCAGGGGACCAGAGCCAGAGCCGCTGCTCTCCGTGCTACAGTGGCCCAAGGCCACCGCGGGGGACGTGTCCTGTGCTGGCAGCCTTGGCACGGCTGTGTGTGACCAGCAGGACACGATCTGCCCGTGCCCGGGCACCGGTGCTGCAGATCCATCCCGGTGGGAATGCCGGGTGTCCAGCAGAAAGGCCCTGGGAGGGTGCAGGGAGCACCAGGAATGATGTCATTTCATCCCAGGACTTTACTGCCCTGCAAGGACCCAGCTGCCGAGGGTCACTGTCTGTCCCGAAGCTGCCAGCATGGGCTGCCCAGGTATTGGGCTCAATTAAGGGGGAAGGATGGGGTGATGAGGAGTCTGGGGCTTTTCCCAAGTGTCTCATGTGGATTGGGAATCAGGCTGGCCAAGGTCTGTGATGTTGTCACCGTGTTTGATCTGGGCTGTGCCTTGACCCTAGGCAGCTCTCCAGGCCCCAGGTTAATCAGCAAACAGAGGTCAGGGGTCCTGTGCATGTGGGGAGAGCAAGTTGGGATGGGCACGTGAAAAGGTGAAAGCAGAGTGTGACCATGCTGGCAAGGACAAGGGACAGGTGTCCCTTGTGCTCACCAGGTGCCACAGGTGTGGTGGTGTGACCTCGGGCCATGCCCTGCCTGGGGACAGCTGAGACTGGATGAGGAGCAGAGGGGCTGTCCCCACAGCAAGGGGCTCAAAGAAGGGCCTCCATCCCCAGTAAGGGCAGCAGGACTCCAGTGACTGGTGGCACTGGGGGACCAGGGAATGGGAAAGCACGGGAGGAAACCTAAGGAGGTTTGGGGCACTGGAGGTGGCTCTGGCCCCTCTGAGTGCATTTTGCCCATCTTCTGCTGTTTTGGGGCAAATTTGCTGCCAGCACAGCATGGATCTATGACAAGCCCCTCATCGGTTTGCTGCCCCAGGAGACTTTGCATGAGCCAGGTAGAAGGGAACAAACAGCAGCCAAGTTGGCAATTAAGATTTATTGAACATGAGCCAACCCCAAAGGTGGAGTGACCAGATTTCAGCAGGAAAAACACAGCCCTTAAGGGAGGAAGCTGGCCACGAACCCTTGAGTGAGGAGAAGCCCCCGCCTCTCACATCTGGGTGCCTGTTCCTCCTCCCTTTCTCCTCAGTGCTCTCAGGGAGCTCAAGAGACCCACAAGACTCAAAGCACACCTCTGTCCTACAGGCATGATGTTTCCATGGGACATCCCTGGGCAAGAGGAAGGAGGCTGAGTGCAAGAAGTCCCACCAAGGGAGCCATCAGAAGAAGCCACACCACCTCCAAAAGGTAGGGTTCTTTTCCAAAATACAGCTTGTCCCGATGGACACCATGATGGGAACAACGAGTCGTCGACAAAGGGGCGTAGCAGTGGAACAAAGACCCTGCCACGAGTCACATTAATTTGTGCCAAATTACTGTTCTATTTGTGCCATGTTATTCTTCTTGTAAAGCATCAGCACAGCACTAAAGCAGCGCAGGGATCTTAGCAGAGATCCAGAGGGAGCTGGGAGGGGAAGCAGTAGGAAAAGCAGGGCAGATCTGTGGTGTGGAGCAGGGCCGGACACCGCCGTGGTGGGACCGGGGCAGGTTCGGATGCTCACCAAAAATCACCCCACGCTGGTCACGTCATCAGGGACAGGGGCTCTTTGTCCGTGGAAAACAGTCTTGGGTGGCTGGTGAGGAATGAGACAAGATCCAGCCAGAGAAGGGACACACTTGGAGGAAGCCTACTCAGTCTTGGAGGCCACGGTGCCGTTGGACGCTCCTGGATCTTTCTTGGAGGCCACGACGCCGTTGGACGCTCCCGCGTCTTTCTCTCGCAGCTTGCGCAAGTAATCGTGGGGGCCTTTGCCCTCGAAGGACGTGGGGCTCTTGTAAGAACCCCCAATCTTGTCCCAGAGGGTGAAGTACTGCCCGTAGTTGTAGTCGAAGTACAGGTGGTGGTCGGTGTGGTGGGCAGAGCCGTTGATGATGTGCCGCAGCAGCCGCGGCACGCGGTAGTCGCCGTCGTGGATGGAGATGGTCCAGACGTTGACGAAGATGTAGAGGCCCAGGTAGGTGACTTTGTGCAGGGGGAACAGGAAGGGGTACACGTGGTAGGGCAGGCTCTGCATGAAGCCATCCACGGGGTGGAAGGCGTGGCTGGCGAAGGGCGTGGCGATCTTCCACAGGTGGTGGGGCTTGTGGAAGCGCTGTGGGGACAGGGGGCTGTCAGTCAGGGTGAGCCCTTTTGGAAGGTTCCCCCAGCCACATTCATGGCCCCAAGGGATGCTGATGACCCAAAGTGACATGGGTCCTAAAGGGCTCTCAGCTCCCATCACATGGTGATGTCTTGTTCAGCCATTCCCACCCGAGCATGCATTCCCTGGGAGGAGCAGCCTGGAAATGTCACCAGAGCTGTACAAGGACACTTGTCCAGAGCTCCCTGTCCTGTCCCATACCTTATAGAACAGCTTGTGGTGGAGCCCACGGTGTATCCAGTAGATGCCCATGTCAGTGAAGAAGAGGAAGGACAGCATGCTGAGGAAGACACCAGACCAGCCTGGAAGAGAACAGAGGTGGCACATGTCAGCATCTGTGAGGGTCTCCACAATGGTCCTTGCTGTGGGAGACGTGTCTGAGTCGTGCCAGGGGCCGCCCCATTGAAGTGAGAGCGTCAGGCTGTCCCCTGTGACTCAGGAAGGTGAGTCAGGTGCTGGGAGCCGTGCCCAGGGAAGGGAAGGATCTCTTTAGTGGAGGGTGGAGTGTGTCAGGCAGGGGGACACGACCCTGAGTGCCTCCCCTAAAGAGAACTTGGGTTTGTGGCTGACAGCCTGGGACAGGAGGTACCCAGGAGGATTTCTCGGGGTTGTCATTGGGAGAAATGAGGGCTGAGGGAAGTGACCCAGGTGGGGACAGGACACTGCTGTGGCAGGGGGTGCAGGGAGGTCACTCACCATACGGGGAGTCCTCGATGTTGTCGTAGAGTTTGCTGTAGCCCCGCACCTCGGCGAAGAACAGGGCAACGGTGGGGACACTGATCCAGGGCAGGGAACGCAGGGCATAGGTGATCTCCCGGCTCACCTGGTTCTGTGGGGTGTGACAAGAGGGGTCAGGGGCACAGGGCACATCTCCTGGCTCACCTGGTTCTGTGACAAGAGGGGTCAGGGGCTCTGGGGACACCCGAGACCCCAATGCCCCTTGCAAGGCTGGGAGGGCTGGTGTCTTGGCCACCCATTTGTTGTGGCATCTGTGGTGTGGGTGCTGCTCACATGGGGACAGCTGTGCCTGGGGCAGGGCAGGGCTCATGCTGGGTGCTGGGTTTAATGGGTTGTGGCACTTCTGGTCAGGGATGATCAAGAGCAACAGCAGGCTTAGAGGGGTGGATGTGACAGCAGGGACAGCCCGTGTCACAGCACTGGCAGGTGACATTTGGAATGGACAAGAGGACAGCAAGGGGGACACTGCCATGCAGAGCCTGGGTGAGGATCAGCAAGGGGCACCCACCTCCAGGAACTGGGGATGTTTCTTGAGCTCGTGGTCGAAGATGAAGTAGTAGCTGAGGGTGCCGAAGAGCAGGTAGAGGGCGAGGGCCCCCAGGTTGGTGATGACAAAAAGGCTGAGGAGCTGGCGGCACGGCTCGTCCTCGGGCCACCCTGCCGGGTACACGTAGGGTGTCAGGAGGTGCCGGTCCGCAGCTTCCAGGACCAGATCCATGGTGGCTCCTGCAGGAAAAAGAGTTGGTGTGACTGCTCAAAGATGTCGCTCCCCAGCGCCACAGGGGCACGGCACATCGGGTTGTGGGCGGGGGAGTGGCAGGGATGGGATGCTGTCCCTCTTGGCTGGGTCACCTTAGCTGGGACTGGGAGGCAAACCTGGGACCTGCAGGTTGTGGGTGTAAAGCAGGGAAGACGCAGAAGTGGGGGACTCGCCTAATTCTGTGCTCTGTTGCTGTGGGAGGGGGCACTTGTGACAGGGGACAGCGGGCGGCGGGTGGCAGCGGGACAGGTGACAGCGGCATGTGGGTCTGGGGTGCAAAACCTATTTGGGGGCAGCATATGGGGCACGGGGCTCCGTTCCGTGCCCTACGGGGCGATCCCCGCCGCGCTCCCCGGGTGGCGGGGGGGTGGCCAAGGGGGTGTCACCGTGTCGGGGAGCCGCAGGTGGCACGGCCGGCGGCGGGGACGCCACCGCGGGGTGCTGGAAGCGGGGAGGGTGAGTGTGGCGGGGAGCGGGGGCCCTGCCGGCGGTGTCCCCCCCACTCCGTGACCCCACATGCCGGTACCCACACCCCCGTACCCCAAACCCCGTGTCCCGTTACCTGCCCGGGGTCCCGGAGCGGCGCGGGGCGGGGGCGGGGCGGGGGCGGGGCCGCGCGGTAGCGCCACGTGACGTCACCGGCGGAAGAGCTCGCGCCACCTCGGGCGGTGACGTCAGCGGGCAGAAAGGGGCGGTGCCACGCTGGGGGCGTAGTCATTGGCTGGGGCGTGATCGGGGGCGTGGTTTGGGGTTGGGCGTGGCCAGGGAATGGGGCGTGGCCTGGGCGGAGCTCCGCCATCGTTCCGCGGTCGCTGCGGTGGCTCCGGGCGCTGCCGGGCCGGGAATTCTGCCCGTTCTGTCCCCTCCCCTGCTGTCCCCTCGGTGGCCATGGCTGGGAAACATCCCTGGTGCCGCTTTGAGTTGGGAAGGACCTTAAAGCCCGTCCGGCTTCACCCCTCAGGGACACCTCCACTATCCCAGGCTGCTCCCAGCCCCAGTGTCCGGCCTGGCCTTGGGCATTCCCAGGGATCCAGGGGCGGCCGCAGCTTCTCCTGTGCCTCCCCACCCTCGCAGTTTGTAACCCTGTTTATTTTAATTAGTGATGTTTATTCTGTTCCTCCCCGGCATTTCCTCTGCAGCAGCTTTTAGCTCCAGACCCCCCTACTCTCTCCCACTCCAATTTCCCTGAGTTTAGTTTTTCCCTGAGTGAATTTTTCCTTGAGTGAGTTCTTCCCTGAGTTCTTCCTTGAGTTTTCCCCTGATTTTTTTTTCCTTGAGTGAGTTCTTCCCTAAGTGAGTGTTCCCCTGAGTTTTTCCCTGTTTTTTTTCCCTGAGTGAATTTTCCCGAGTTTTCCCCTGAGTTCTTCCCTGAATTTTCCCTGATTTTTTTCCTTGAGTGAATCCTTCTCTGAGTGAGTTTTCCCTGAGTTCTTCCCTGAATTTTCTCTGATTTTTTTTCCCCCTGAGTTCTTCCCTGACTTTTTCCCTGACTTTTTCCCTGAATTTTCCCTGATTTTTTC